GTGTGTGTGTGTTCATGTGTGCGCTCGCAGTGATTATAATCCAAGCCCTGGCTGTAAGCCCTTCAGCCTGTGCTCCACCAGCCGCAAGGCCACAGCCTCTCCCCACCAGTTAATTGCATCTGAATTAGTCCATTAATGTGGCCGTGTAGAGGGATGAAGGGGTGCACGGAGGTGTCTGGCCTCTTTTGACCACTGCAATGTATTATTAATGGGTCAGCAAGTCTGGCAGCTCTGCATTAACTTGGCTAATGGACTGTAGGGTGGGTCTGTGATTCCCTTTCAGAAGGAAATCAAATATAATACATATTACAGAAAAAAAAAGCTTCTTTTAGGCTTTTTTCAGACTTTGTTAGTGAGAGCAGAGCAGTGATTTAAAATGAGCCGTTGCTTCTTGCTGTTTCTTTGTGGTTTGCTCCCTGGTGACAGGTTACTGTCGGGAGTCCAAGGTTACACTGAGTCATCTCCCTGCGCCATGTACAGTAATGTACTTTGCTAATGAAAAGCTAAGTATCAGATCAGATTAATACGGATGATGGTAAATGGCTTACTTTTTTCTCTTCTTGTGTAGTAGCCTTCAGGCTACTTATATTCAAAAGGCTGGGGATGACTCTAGTAAATGTAAGGGTGCATTGCATGACAAGAACACAGCCAAATAAGAAAAGAAAGCCCTTTATCTAGCTGATGCTCATCTTTTTCTACTGGTCACACAACTTTTTTGAGGAATACACACCCTAGTTGTTTTGGAAAACTAAGCAATACCAAGTAAAAAGGAGATCAGAGGTACCAGAAGTAGACTGGTGAACATGTTGAACAGGTAATTTCCCTCTGTAAGATATTCAAATGCCACATTTAATTCTGATAGTAGAGTTTCTTTAACTATAACAAAGGTAATGGAATTTTTTTATTTTTTTATCCACCTGCACAGAAATAAGTGGTGTACAGCTATAGTCACTGTTTGTTTCTCAGCAGTCAGAAGAATATGACTATGCAAAGATAGAAGGTTAAGGAGTGCATGACTTATTCTCAGTCTGATGGTAACGTGCATATTGAGCAGCTGCATGAGCTCTATAATGTTTATGTAGACGTGCAGGAAAAATAAAAGGTCAAAACGTCTCAGTTTTTCCTCTCCTCAATATTGTGTGTTTTCAGTAGATCTGTTTTACATTTTGTCTTCCAAACATCACATTTTACTGTCTTGGTATTTGAATGTAACATTTGCTGCTTGCTACTTAAGGCTGCAAAGAGAAGAATATACATTGAAGTTGCACACAAAAGGTTTTCTGTGCCGTTTCTTTATTTGTCTAACTCTTAAGTGGACAGTTGGCACTACCCCGTCACCATTAGTAGCTGCAGTCAGTTCTTCATTGTTAGTGGGCACTGTAGTCAGCAGGCTGCTGTGAGCCATTGTCAGAGGATAGCATCAGAGGCTCTTCTTCTGGCTGATAATTAAGTGGCGTACTGACAAACGGCTTTCATCAGATCCCTCATGTGGAACTGAGAGCATGCGAAGGCTTTCAGGGAGGATAAACCAGAGGACGTCACTTTGCCTCCAATCTTTCATGGCCTTGTGCTGCCTCTGCAGTGGAGGAGGAAGGGAGAGAAAAAGCGCCCTGTGTAGTACAGGAGGAAAGTGCAAGGCCGCGTTGCTCAGAGAACCAGGCTCAATTTACAGCACTGTGCAAGGCGGTTTCTCTGCGCTGATATTGTCAGTCTGTACTGTACCAGTTTCCCAGTTTGTCTCGGGCGACCAAGCACACAGTATGTGCTACGTCTTTTTTCCCATTTGAGAATCTGTCAATTATTTTTGTTTCCTCAAGGCTGATATAACTTGTGATGACTTTAGGCGCCGAGTGCATGAGAGTAGATTGACAGACAGAGTGTGAGCCGGAGTGTGCTATTGCGACAATGACCCCCTTAAAACATGAAATGTACAGTCACTACAACCTCCTTGCACCCAATCGTCACCCAGAAAATCAAGGTCAAGATCAATGCTGTTTGCAGGCGTCTTGTTTTTAGATCGTATACGCTGTATGAACATTTATTGTGTGTTTGCCAGACAACTGGTACCTTGAAATGTGCATTGCAATGATGTCTATATGCTTTGCTTTGATAGCTAACGTTTTATCGGCTGCTAGAGTGGAAACTGAAAGCTGTTAACAGGATCGTTTAGAGGATATCACTTATCAGAAGTAGAAGATGCCATTACATATTATTCCACATTTGGATGTATTTAATGATTTTAGGATTTGTAGTAATGTATTTGTTTTCCTTAAATGTGAGCTAAAATAAGTTGGTCTGATTTTCTAGATACAGATACATTCTTTAAGGTTATCTTCAACCATGATCCTCAGTTTTCTGCAGTGGATGTTTTACACTTTCATTTTATTTCCCTGACTTGATTTTAGTCTCGCCACGTCTCAACCTTTTCGTTCCAGCCTAATCTACTGTGTTGTACTGACTGGTTTACTGTTCAGTCGTGTTATCTTTCACTCCATCCTGCCAATTTCCAAAGAGGTCCGTGCCCATCATCATTTCTTCTCAATTCTTTCTGGTTCATTGCCAATGACAACCCTGTCGAAGGTCAGAGATGTTCAGAAATAATCCACTTAATGGAATAATGCTTCACTTCTGCACGCTGCACTTTGCAGTAGTGTAGCAACTGTAGCAACACCAGAGGTTGTACAAAGCGCTTTGACTGTGTGCAGTTTGGCTTTGAGCAAGAGAGTGAGACAGAGTGGGAGAGACACAAATATCGGCAAAAGAGAAAGAGAGACAAAGACAGATAGCTCTCTGAAGGACTGTGATCAAATAGGCCTCATATGAGTGGCTCAGGGCTTTTGTTGTAGTGTGACCTGCCATTCAGCGTTGCATTAAGTGAATTTTTCCCCCACAGCTTTTCAAATCTGCAGTGACTGCCTCCCAATTTATAAGGGGAATGCTCGAATTTCAAACGTAGCATTCAAGCCAGGGCTGTAACCTCGAGTGCACCTAGAAAATAATGCAGAAGTTTTTTTTTTTTTCCTTGAATTTCTGCAGGTCCATTCCAAGGTTGGCCTTACAGCAACAAAGCAGGTAGGGAAGGGAATGTGGGTGCATGTGCCTGAGTGAGATTGAGTTCAGAACATTTATATTGGAGCTTTTGGTCTCTAACCCCACTGCTTCTGTTGAAAAGGGAACATCCTTGGTGCAGGATTCATAAACTTCTTATATGCCACTAGAGAACTTTGGGGTTTTTGTTTTGGCTCAGCCTATTGTCTGAGCTGTATAGGATGCAGTATCCCTGGATTACCCTCAACAAAATTACTTGGCAGATAAAGTTGGATTGCTTTGCTCACTCGTGGTGTTGTGGAGGATTCCACAGAATAGGCAGGTAAGCTCAACGTCTACTTTTTACTATATGTTTGCAGACCTCTTTGGTTAATGTGTATCTGACGGTGGTTAATGTGTAGACAGCCTGGTCTCTGCTGTAGACTGTTGTAGCTCGCTTGTATTTATCTAGAATAAACGGCTCTCCTTACACATCTGTCTGAGGTGGCTTTTGTCCACTGCCGAAGCACATTTTGTACCTGCAGCCTCTTCTGTCTGTCCTCTTTACCTTTCCTGCAGTTTGAATGTATGGTGCTGGCCTCTGGAAACACTACACCTGTGGAGGCTGATGCAAACCAGTGACCTCGGTTGTCATCTCAGTTGGCTCCCCTGTAGTGGCAGGGGAACTTTGACAGCTCTGATTCTTTTTTTTTTTTCTTCCTTGTTTTTATTTTCATTAATTGCATTCTGTACTTTAAAAAAATCCTTAATAGTCATAATAGTAAGTCCAAGCATCTCACTATTGCAAACGTTTTTTTGTTGTTGCTGACGCTGTTGTCACTTCTCCTGATAACATGTACTTTTTGAGTCCACACATGTGATCGCTTATCAAGCTAATTTCTTTCTTGCATGAATTGCCCTCATTATATTAGCCTGCCAGTGAAAAATGGGTTTAATTTAGCCAAATGCTCACTGTTTGAGGGGAGGGAGAAAAATACAATTTCCCCATAGTGTCATCTCCTTCTGCAGAAGTGGCTGTTGAGTTTTAATTACTATAATACCTCAGTGTGCTACACCAGATGACCCAGGTCTATATAGAAAAAGTTAGCAATCATTTACATTTTTCTGGTTTGCTTATTTTCTTTTGTCTTTGCATTATGGACTTAGACGTAGAGTTCTCCTGGCATGGAATAACAAGGTATTATATGTATGACAGATTTCACCTTGGCATGAATTTTTCTGCGGCAGGCAAGCAAACCGTTGATGTTTTATTAAAACTACATACAAGTGAGTAAAGATCAGAGACTATGGGGTTTAAAACCTAGCATGCCAACACATTACTACTAGATGCCAAGGGAGGCAGATCAAATGCCTTTGAAGATGGTTAAAAAAAATCAAGTTGAAAATCGTTATAGTTGACTTCATTGGTATTTGAGTGCAGGCTTTGGGTCTCGGTAGCTTTTCTAGATGCAAGAGAGCTTTGTGGTGTGTTGGAAGACAGTATGGTGTCGGTGGGGAGGCGGTGTCACTGTAGTCAATAGGTAGTACTAAATAAAATTAAATATGTCTTTAACATGTGCTTAATGTAATTGCTTTTGTCACTAAAACCAAGAAAACCTACTTTACAGTCACTATTGGAGCCTTTAAGACAGGGTTTTGGGGTTTTGTGTACATGTTGCACAACTGGAGGGGACAGTGGTTTTAAGTGCTCAAAACGTTGAAGCATACAGCACCCTGGCTCTCCTTTGTCATCGCGCAGCACATTTTCATCCAGTCAGTCAGAAAAAGCCTCGTTCTGATCGACTTAAGGTCACAGCTCTTCTCACAGCTAACAGGATTAAATCATCTGGTGATTGCACCTGGACGAACTTACCTTTCTCTACCTGTGTCTGTGTGTGTCCAATCATTTTTTTTGATTTTTTTTTTTTTAAGCGGTGCCTTGCTGAGCGAATGCTGTGGCATCCCACATGCCTTCCCACACCCACTACAAATAGACAGCGAAGGTGCTACATTCCATGGCCTCGGTGCAGATCCCTGAGGCTGAGGAGTATGTTCTGTGTTGGTGGGCATGTCACAGGGTCCATATAAAATAACAAAGGCCTAAAAATACAGTAATCTATGTGTATGTGTGTGTGTGTGTGTGTGTGTGTGTGTGTGTGTGTTACTGTATCTCTACTGATTCACTTCCCGTTTCCTTTATTGTGGGCTTGCTTGCTACACTCTTACCCCTTTCTCTCTTTCTTTCACTCTTTCTTTCTTTTTTTATAATTTCTGTAAATCTTATGTGAAATATTCAAATTATTTAGATTTATTCAACTGTTTAAAGTCCAAAGACATTCAGTTTACTATCATACATACTTGCATGCATACAAGGAACGCAAACAAATCCTCACACCTGAGAAGCCGAAGCCAAAGAATGTTTGGAGTTGCATTTGAAGAATGACTTAAATGATTAATCAATCATTAAAGTAGTTGTCAGTTTATTTTCTGTTCTTATCAACTTATCGACTATTTGTTTCAGCTCTAATGTTCTGATAATTATCGCAATATTAATTTAGTCCTCATCCCCATTCTCTTGGTTGATTTTAGTGATTATTATTTAGCAAAGCTAAATATGTTGAAGCAGAATCTGCCTTTTACGTCCAGAAGAATTAGGCTCCTATAAGTAATTTGTCTTGTCAGTTATTTTTACTGACGTATGATTTTCTTTTTCTTTTGTTATGTTAAAAGCCAAATAAAAGATCTTTTATCTAAAGAAAAAAATCTAGTATTTTTACGCTATGACTGGGACATCTTCATGCAGCAGGAGATGCTTCGTCATTTCCTCCCTTGCAGGAAATCTTTTTCACACAGTGATTCAATTTCAGTGTTTCACTGCTGTCTACTGTGACCTCTCTTTTAGCGATATCTGTGGTCCACCATATTGTAAACACCATACATGTGCATTAACACCTGCTTACATCTCTTGTCTTTCTGTCCATTTGTTATTCCATTGTTTCACTCGTTCATTCACTCGCCCACTCTATGACCAGTTCTTTCCCTCCCTCTCACCATTCATTCACCCGAGAGATCTTTCTGTGTTTTTGAGCAGATCTGAAGCATCTATCTCAGCAGTGGCTCAAGTCTTTTATATCGCTCCATCATTCAGACTTGCTGACAGGTCAATTAGAGGTTTAGGCGCTTTCCTCCCAAGTGATGGTACTTGCAAGAATGTTTGCTTTGGTTTGTCTGATTTGTCATTTTCCCCTCATCTGTTCAGACACTGCATAGAAGATATTAGATGTGGCGACACGAAACTGCACAATATTTTTTACATGACTGTTTTGTTCACTCTAAATGCCTTGTGGTACATCCTGTCTTCTATTTTATAGTTAAGCGGGATCAACTGAAAACGGGGCAGTGATTCTGTGCCCATTGTCACCTAAGCCAAACCATGTCTTACTCTGACCTTTAAACTGTGTATCCTTCTGCTTTTCTCCCCAGATCTTTTTCGCTCTTTATTGGAAATGTGAATTGAACTCAGGAATCATTTTGCTTAAATTATGTATTTGAGCAGCTCCTGTAGCAGAGGTCATTGTAGTGTTTAACCACTGGTTCCTGACACCGTTCACCACAGCCTATTTTCTCACACACTGCAATGCCAGGGAGAACACTTTGATCCCAAAGACAACAAATCCAGCAGCATTTAAGTTCTTAACACTTTAAGAGCACCTCTAGGTCATCTCAGGCCTTCACTTGGTCTCAGGAATGTTTCAAGTAAACTCACAACTGGACTAACAGCTCTTGTTGCTTTTTGTTAGTTGTGGGAAATGTAAGAGTGGGCCGTGTGTTGGTTGGTTAGAGCCCCCGCACACTATATTTTTCCTTTTTTTTTTTTTTTTAGCTTTGAGGCATAAAGTTGCAGGAAGATTGTGTGAATGTGGGAAGGCCAGGAACCTACGGGGGCATTGATTTACTCACGTTGGACCACAGTGTGACTCTTCCTGTCCCTCAGTTGCTGGTGTTCATTCCTATGTCATAACCGGTATGCGTACATACGTGTGTCTGTCCCAGCATGGCGAGTTCGCTCCCTTGGGTCCCTGACCGTGTGCACAGGGTGCCTCCTACTCCCCAGCTGTGAGGAGCAGGGCTCTGACATGGCCTGTCCCTTTAGCTCACTCTGAACGTTTGACATGCCAAGCGCAGAGGTCAGCCTGACCTACTTTCCCCTGGCGGCCCTTCTGCTGAGCTGCAGCGCTCCTCAGCAGGGGGGGTATCAGTACACTAAGTAGTGGGCGAGAACGAAATATATTGTGCTTTAAGTATAGTGGCTAAGTCTGGTAATTAGGTAGGTCGGTATTTATAGGGATCTACCAGTACTAGTTATGAATTGTATAGTAGGTTAGAACGTAGGTCAGAGGGGTGTGAAGCAGTGTACATCGAAAAGTGATGGTCAGTAGCAGAGGCTCTACTGCAGGGGGTCCTGCCCAATGTGCTGCCCCATGCATGTCTACCTCAACCCCCCAACCCCAGTAGCTCTTCATTATCCAACTCGAGCCACAAGCCGTGTGTGTTGTGTGTCTGTGTGTGTGTGTGTTGTGATGTGTGTGTGTTGTGGTTGTGTGTGTGTGTGTGTGTGTGTGTCGTGTGTGTTGCTGTCGTGTGGTCGAAGAGAGAGAGTCTATGTATGTGGGATGACTCCTACACACTAAAATATAATAAAAACATGCGGCATCACTACTGGATTATCCTTGTCTCCTAAACACATGGCCGGTGATTTACTACATCGGCACATGCAGTGGATGGGCGTAAGCAGCTCCGCCTCCGGCGTGCCT